TTGATAAGGTAGATTGGAAGTTGATGTTCTCTATGCTCTCCTATTAAGGATTGGGTGCCAAGATGTTAATGTAGATTTCTGCACTTGGCTCCCACTGCCCAAGTTCGAATCAATGGCACTCTGTCCCAAACCTTCCAGTCGCACACCAATACACGTCATGGATGCCCCTTTTTCCCCACTGTTTGTTCCTCTCTCTGGAACCTTTATTGGATGCCATTCACCTCAATCAAGATATGCAAGGCATTCCAACCCGTGGAAGAACATAAAATTGTGGCTTATGCTGATGACATTGTATTTTATGTCTATAGTTCCAGAACCTCTCTTCAACAAATATTAAAAGAGTTCAAGGCATATAATGAGATCTCTAAATTTTAAGATAAACCTAGGCAAATTGGAGATTCTAAATGTTTCCTTTCCAGAAAGTATTCTCCTGTATTTTCCATTAGTTTTGCAGAGTACAATCTCTGGGAATTACACTTGCTATTAAACTTGCTAACCTTTATTTACATAATTATATCCCCATGGTCAATGTGATGTCGGACCCCAACTCTTTTGCCCTTTTTCCTGGCTTGGCAGAACTAACGCAATCCTGCTGAAGGCTCCGTTTCTCTTTCTTTTTTTTAATTATTTCCGTTTATTGGGTTTTTCAGATGACATACATATTACACAGTACAGTACCAGGGGACACGTTAACAATGCAATCGTCTCAGAGCAGAATGGAGTAAGTCAGTATCCCACGGAACAGACAAACAATGACAGGGGGAAAGACAACGACTTGTAGAAGAGGAAGGAGAGGACGGGACGGGATAGGGTAGGAAGGGGTTTTTGTGAACTTGCCTCAGGGCGCCGTAGACGCTAACATCACGGATTCAAGAGGTAGAGGCGTTAACCGGTTTTGCACAATGTCGCATTGTCATTTTGTATTAATCTGGCTGTGTAGCATCCCATGCTTGTAACTATCCAGCTATGTAGGATACAGATATACAGCCAAACACCTAGCCCGCAAGATTGTTAACCTCCTAGAAGTAGGCACAGTGTTAAGGTCTCTCACTTACCCGTCGTAAAAAGGACGCCTGGTGAACATTCGGGGCATACACGTTAGCTAACCTAAACTCTACGCCCTGGATAGCAACCTGCAAGATAAGATATCGACCTTCCGGGTCAGTCAGGGGTCTCTGATTTGAGACCCCCTCGAAACCCAATAGCGACTCCCTTAGCACGTTTAGTGGGGGAATCACTGTAGTACCAGAGCGGGTAGTGACGAGCCTTAATCAATGTCGGGAAGATGTAGGCGAGATGCGTCTCTTGAAGGAAGACCACATCTACTTCGCCTCTGTCAATCTCCGACAGGATCTGGTAGCGTTTACGCGGGGAGTTAAGGCCTCGCACATTATATGTAATTACTTTTAGAGTCGCCATTGGTGGAATCCGTATGGGATCCTCTCAGAGGACCGAGGAGACCCGAGCAAGTTCACAACACAAAAGGTACATACAAAAGGGAGGGAGACAAAAGGTAGGAAGGGAACACAGGGAAACATAACCAGACATGGGCAGACGGATCTGCCTTACTCTAAGTGCCGTAAGGTCGGCAGCAGATGCCTTTTCGCGGGGCCGAGGGCTGCCCGGGAAGGCATTTGGTATGGAGTCCACATACCAAAATGCATGGGGACTCAATGACGTGCGGCCAAAGCCTCCCCACCCTCCCCGAGTGCATAAAAAGAACTTGCAGTAAACAAAGTAAGAACTTGTGGCATACCGTAGTGAACATATAAAACATTAGATAACCATGTCATAACGATCTAACTCAAATCAAAATGGTGACACAGCAATATAGGACAACTTCGCCCGGTGCCTCCGACATGTGGCATGGGAGGGCACCTTAATGAAGCTCGGAGCGGGCAACAATGTGAAAGAGAGAGATTCCCCGTCATACTGCATAAGGGGGGATGGTTGATTCAATCTCCCGGGGCAGAGTGGGATGAGGGCCTGCGCCGGGAGCCCCTCTGAGGTTTTGATGCAGCTTGGTGCCAGTGGGTTGCGGGATTAACGCGCCATTCCGGTGGTCGGTCTGCCCAATCAGTCAAATCCGGCACGGCAATCTCCATCTTGGTGCAAAAATCTGCTAATTCCTCAGTGAAGCGCAGGACCGCCGATTTACCCTCCCGGGTAGCTATTAGGCAGGCGGGGAACCCCCATCGGTACGGAATATGGGCATCCTTCAGCATCTTCAGGAGGGGCCTAAGTTGCCGCCTGCCGGCAAGGGTCTCCGGGGAGAGGTCCGGGAAAAGTTTTTGCTCCGTCAAAGTCGACTTCAGAGGAAGATAAGGGCCTTGTCCGCGTAGTAGTAGTGAAGCCGCACTATGACGTCACGGGGCAGCTCTCCCGCCGCTGCTCTTGGCCTCAGGGCCCTGTGTGCCCGATCAAACAGGAGGGTAGAGGTAGGGGGACGGCCCAAGATGGAATTGAGGATGCCCCTGACGGTGCCCGCGAGGTCCGCGTCACCCGTGGCTTCAGGCAGGCCTCGGAGACGCAGGTTGTTCCTGCGATTCCTGTTCTCCTGGTCCTCGATCTTGTACAGGGCTTGGCGGGTGTGCAGCCGGGAGAGCTTACCCTGATTCTGAAGCTCCCGGATGGCCTGCGCGTGTTCGTCTAGGCGGTCCTCCGCAGCCTCCACGCGGTTCAGTGTGTGCGACAGTTCGGACCTGAGCGCCGTCAGGTCCGTTTTAATGGAGGTCTCCAGGCGAAGGAACATGGCCGCAAGCTCCCGTTTAGGCGGCATGGATCTCGCTAAGGTACGTAGCGACATTTTGGAGCCGTCTCCCGAGTCCTCCGCTTCCGACTGGGCCGAGGTATCGTCACGCTCAGGCCTGCGATGGTGAGTAGGGTCCTTTGCAGGCCGCGCTGGCGAGAGTGTTGGAGGCGCGCGTAAGGCCCCGCGATCTTCCGGCGGGGATTCCGCCGCCCAGAGCCGTTGGAGCGAGCCCGCATTCGGTCTCTTGGCAGAGCCCGACTTCTGGCCTCTTTTGCCCCCCATGAGGAGAGTAAGGGATGTGGGCGAAGTGTCCTTTTGTCACGAGCAACTCGGGGATGGAGCAGGAGCTTCAGTTAGACACGTCCAGCCGCCGCCATAGGTAAGCCACACCCCCCCCGTTTCTCTTTCTAATGTATTGTATTACCCAAAACATATTTTGACACTTTACAGAACCTGATATCTAAATACATTTGCCAAGTCAAAAAATCCAGGAACTCCTTTAAAATTTTAAGATCATCAAAAATCTCGGGTAATCTAGCCCTGTTTGACTTTAAAACATATCACATTACTGCTCAATTAACCCGTGTTGCAGACTGGACCTTTAATGCTTTGCAGAAGAGTTGGGTAGGTTTGGAACAGACTTAGGGGGTTATTCACTAAAAGGTAAACATTTTGGAGAAGGCAGGAGAAGTGAATAATCTAGACAACATAGCTGAACTGGAAAGTGAGTTGAATTGGAGAATTTTTCAAATCAGTTATGTCCTAGATTGTTCACATCTCCTGCCTTCTCCAAACTCTTCATCCTTTAGTGAATAACCTCCTATATACCTATAGGGGATTGCATTTGGGTTCCGCCTCAAAAGGAGGTCTTTGTCTTCCTTATCATCACCTTTGACTAAAACCACACTTCAAACTTAAGAATAGTTACGTCATAAAATCCACTGGCCCTATAACACAATTCTACTACCAATGACTGGTTTGGATTATTTTCCCTCAGGAAAATTTGACTAATCTTTCCTTCATTTGGTGGATTCCTTTAGCCTGAGGTTAAGAGACCTACTGCTAGGCATAATACGTCTACATTCCCTGCGTGAACGTTGGGGGTGTCATGCTCTAGATTTTTGGTGATACCGACAAGTTCTTCATTTTGTACACTCTCTCAAAACCCTTCTGGGCACCAGACCAATTCACACCATTTGAAAACTTGTTGAATGCCTCAGAAACTCCCAGAAACCACGAGTTACTGCTTCTCTAAAGCACAAAATGTTTACCCTAGCTACTACTTCTTCTCTTGATGTCCAGATGGTGGAGGCAAACTTTAAATTAGTCAGATATACCATCTGACTAATTTAAAGTTTGCCTCCACCATCTGGATATCAAGAGAAGAAAAAGTAGCTTCACAATGATCCACTTAAGGTGCACAAAAGCTATCCATTAATCTCTTCACAATGTTGGAGTGAATGCGGTTATTTAGGTGCTTTCGCTCATATATGGTGGCACTATCTTGACATAAAAAAATTCTGGTCCATAGTTGTGGACCTCACTTCTCAAATTAGCAGATTGACTGTACATTCAATGCCATGATCTTGTTTGTGTCATAATATGTGAGATTCTCCTGGATCCTGCAAGAAGACTCTGATCACTTTTATGTTGAATGCAGCAAAATCGCTCATACCTCACTATTGGATATCTCCACATATTCCCTCCATTATAAAGTGGTTTGAAAAGATTGATAGGTTGTGGCATCTTGAGGCTCTTTGACGGTTATGATAAGACCTGGGCATGTTGGATGGAGTTTAAAAATTCAGATAAATATTGCTCGTACATGTCTCAAGGATAGGAGGTGCAATCTACTACACATTGTTTATTAAAAGGTATGCTTAATAGATCAATTACCTACCCTCATGCACAAGAATGTGGGCTCTACACAGTGTAAGCTCGCTGAACCACACCCAGACATACCTCTGTTTTGTCTTTTCCCTAGTGTTTTTTCCTCCTCCTGGTATGATAGTGTGAATTGTGTGTGTGTCCGGAGTTTCTTGACATATACACCTTCCTTGTGATAAACTGCACTGAACTGATGTTTGCATACTTGTTTGGATATATGTATTTTTAAAAAAACCAATAAAGTTAAAAGAAAAATGGTCTTCTAAAAGAAAAAACATGAAAAAGTTGAAAAGTTGAAAAAATTATGAAAAAAAAGTTAAAAAATACTGAAATTGCAACATAGACAAAAACATCCACATACCTGTTACACAAAATGTTACAAGATGTATTTCTTCAGCTTGATTGTCAAATGCCCCTGTAACACAATATACAAAAGTTGCAACAAATTACTTCAGAAAAAAAAAACATGACAATTTGATAAGAAGGTAGAGTGCAAAGTCAAAAAAGTCCCACCTGCCTTGAGCTACTCTTAGAAACTGCAGATAAAAACTCAAAGGACAGGAGCGCAACTACCAGGAGTGACGTGAACGGAGTTGAGCTACTCTTAGGCTGTTGTGTAGAGCAGCCTTTCTCAACCACGGTGCCTTCTGTTGCCCGGCTTCCTGATTGGCCGGGAAGTCAGCTCCATGCTCTCTCATCACAAGTGACGAGAGAGCATGGAGCCGCTTCCCGGCCAATCAGGAAACCGGGCAGCGTGTAATGACTCGCTTCCCGGCTTCCTGATACAGGAAGTACTCATGCTAGGCACTCGTGCTCCCAGAATCGTACAAGCCATCATTCCTGGGTGAGTTCTGCGCTTTCAACATACCAGAGGCACTATAACTACCAGCGCCCTGCCTAGTGGAACGCGCACACCGACTAGGTCCACAGAGGGAGGATGGGGCCCCTCCGCGGCCGATCATTGTGCACTACCTGAATTACGCCGACCGGTCAAAAATCCTGCATCCTCCTCCTTTTTGCCGACTACTCGGCTGCAGTAGCCAAAAAACGCAAAGCGTTTAATGAAATCTGCTCCACTTTGGCCCGGAGATGCATCAGATTCACATTGGCTTACCCAGCCACGCTCTACTTTGACACGGCAGAAGGCCGCCGCTTGTCGTTTCAAGATCCAGAGGTGGCAGCTACAATGCTGAACAGCCTTGAATTGAATCACGGGTCTCCCTCCAAACCTCCCCCACCTGTGTGGTCGCCTCGGAAATTTCCCAGGGTTGCGAGAAAAACGGGTGGCACCCCCCCCCGCAAATACCGACACGGCTGATCTGGTAACATTGAACCTTGTGGTCATAAGCTCATATGGATTGATCAGGGGGTCGTATCCGACCAGGCATTCGCTGATCTATACCAGCTGCTGTACACCTCTCTAATTCAGCCTATGAATGTTGTTATTCTTTGCACTTAGGAGATTGTGTTAGCTACTACACCTCATTTCATTCTCTGCTACGGTGGAGAGGAGAAATGAGCACATTCCCCAACCTGCTGTTAAGTGGGAAATGCGGAAATCAGTAAATCAGTTTGTTACGTTGCTTGTTACAGTTTTGTTATTTTGGGTTATTCGCCTTCAGGTACCACCTATATTTACTCAATTTTTTACAGCCTCCATTGCTGACCAAAGGCATTGTGTTCTTCTGCACATCCATAGATGTTTTCATGCTAGTGGGTCACGGCTGCCTAAACACCTGGAATTGCGCCTCTGGGAGGGGTGCCCTTTGTTGCTTGACATGCAAATTTTTCATTCTGCTCTACATTCACACCTGGTTTGCGGTATATTTATAAATATATGAAAATAATATCTTGGAATGTTAAAGGCTTGCGCTCAACCCAGAAACGCAATCGGGTTCTACGACACCTCAGCCGTATGGGAACGGATATAGCCTTGCTACAAGAGACCCATCTGAGAGTGGAGGATTTCTTTTGATTACGCAAGTCCTGGGTGGACGAAGTCATAGGTTCCCCTTCAGAGGGCAGGAGTGGTGAGGTTCCCCTTCAGAGGGCAGGAGAGCGGGAGTGGTGATTTTATTGAACAGAAGCCTAAAATACTTGTTTATTAGCGTGGATAGACTCAGAAGGGAGGTTGCTTACAGTTCACTTAGATATGGGCCCTAGTAGATTGGCGTTGACAAATGTATACTTTCAAAATTCCCCCATCACAGCTGAGTTAGGATTTCAATTTAAAAATGTCTATAGGAGAGGATAGGAAATGGCTTTCGGGTTTAGTACCTCGAACGAGGAGTCCAGAACTGGCCAGACAGTCTCCCTTGGCAACCATGGTGTCCGCTCTCAACTTTAATGATGCCTGGAGACTGGCACATCCACTAGAAAACAGATTTCACCCATCTTTCCCTGGTCCAAACAAGACCTATTGCCAACTCCCTCTCATCATACTAGGATAGAGTGGGAACAAGCCAAACAACAATTTGACCTATGGGCACAGAGACAGGAGGCTGTCCACGCTTCGTATTCTACACTTAGTATACATAAATTTCGCAACAAGGCAGGTAAGCTCTTGGCTAATTTAGTGAATGGGCGGTTCAACCCGACCCATATTCCGGCCCTCAAACATCCCTCTGGAGCATTGGAAAGGGATCCCATAGCAATCAATAAGATCTTAGAACATTTATATTTTATAGTTCTCTTTACTCGGCTGATGACATTGATGAGGGGGCAGCATAAAACTTTCTAGATTCGGTGACACTCGAGCTTGAAAAAGAGGTGATACCTTGCTCTTCTCTTCCTAAACTATCTCCATCCCATCACTGATCTGATCACCCGCCGCCTGTCAGCTGCTTCCGCATACCGACTTCCTACACTTTTCCAGTCAGACCAGACAGAAACTGAGCACTGATACACACAGCCGCGGCCTCAGCAGCCCAGTCTGCACCCAACACTGCTGGGTCTCCCCCACACTGCCCAGATCCCGCATTCTTTTAGCAGCACCACGGACAAAGTCCCCTCTCCTCGTTCACAGCCTCCCTCCCTTCTGTGGACGAACTCATCCAGGCAGCACACCAGCCAGATTCGGGCATACACCACGAGTGTCCCGATCCTCCACACAGGCCGTCCATCTCCTGATTCCTGGATCCACATGTGTCAATACCTTGATTCTCTGCCATGTCTTGTCCAGTTAGCTAGTGCTCCATTGTTGTTGTGCCCTTTGTGTTCTTTTGTTGATCTGCATTTACAGGTTCTCCTCCTGTTTCCCAGGGCTGCATGCATGTCTGTTAGTTAGCCTTCCCCATCCGAGAGCGCTGTTTATGTTTTCTTGTCTACCCTGGTGCAGCCAGCTCAGGTGGGATTTGTTAAAGGAAGGTCGGGAGTAACGAACCTCCGAAGGGTACTGATGGGCCTGGAGGAAGCACGTGCCCACCCTTCGAGGGCGGCGGCCATAATCACACTTGACGCTGAAAAAGCTTTGACAACGTGCACCTGGGCTGGCTGTTCCGGGTTCTCACAAAGTTTGGCTTTCAGGGTCGAGTTCTCTCTTTCCTGCGACAAATGTACGCCTCACCAGTTGCAAGGATTTTGACTCAGTCAGCTCTGTCCCTGCCACTGGTCCTGGAGAAGGGAACAAGACAGGGCTGCCCCTTGTCTCCCCTGCTCTTCAACCTCTCTTGAACCTTTGGCATCACAAATATTGCACTCGCCTGTAACGCGAAACTCCATATCACACTTTTTGCGGACGAGGTTCTGTTTTTCACATCCTGGCCCAAAGATGATGTGTTGGCTATAAAAGAATTATTTGCCCGTTTCAGGAACTTCTCGGGACTGCGTATAAATTTTGCCTAAGAGCGAAATCATCGCTCTCTCGGAGCCTTCAAATGGGGACCGGGGGGGGGTTTGGGGAAACTATGACACTATGGGTAGGGCACAGCCACATCACATATTTAGGCTTGAAAGTGGGAAAAACGCCCGCCTCTCTGTACTGCCTGAATTATCTCCCTTTGATTGACAAGCTTATTAAAGAATTGGAGATGTGGGAGGGTCTTCTCTTGTCACTCTTTGGGAGAATCCACCTAATCAAAATGATCATCTTTGCTTAATTGTTATACCCGCTGCAGACTCTTCCCCTTCTGTTAAAAAGCAAGGACATTCGGTGCACGCAATGTCCAGATTTATCTGGCAATCCAAACCGCCGAGGATCTCCTTCAAAAAGCAATGGGGGGGCGTGGCTTGGGCATGGCCGGGTGAAGACGCTCACACGCTGAGCTCCTGGGCCGCAAAGAACTTTACGGTAATAATACGACCCAACGATACCGCCCTGACACGCGCTGTCACCACCAAAAGATGCAGCCGAAGAAAAAGCAGGAGGGGAACCCGTCAGCCCGGCCGGACACCGCCATCGACCAGCTCCTGTAGTCCGCACGTCCGCCGGCAACGGTCCCAGCAGGCTCTCCCATAATGGCACCCGCAGCCCACGCTACAGGACAGCAACCCCTGGAGTCGCCTGGCAGCTCTATCCCACGCTGCCCAGCCTCTGAGGTAGGAGCACACACACTTACCCACCTGCATCTACTTGTTGATGACCTAGAAAACCGCAACCGCAGACAGAATATTTGCATAAAGGACATCCCGGAAGCCACAATCCCTGGTGACCTCTGTCCCACGGTCGTGGGTATTTTCAACCTTCTTCTGGGCCGCCTGGCGGATTCGGATATAGCTATCGGCCGCGACCCTTGGCCCGCTGACCCCTGATGCAAGGCAACCGAGAGATGTGATCTGCTGCCTGCACTCATACACCATGAAAGATGAAAGAAGAGATCCTTCAAAAAGCATGGCGCAGGGGACCCTTTGAATTTGATGGAGCCCCTATCCACCTGTACCCTGATGTTTCCCGCAAAACCCTGCAGCTGCAAGTATTGAAACCATTGCTCGATGCTCCAGGGACTTGCATACAGATGGGGCCACCCGTTTCACCTGATTGTTCGCAAAGGTAACTCTCTCTTCTTTCTACGAAATCACTCAGATGTGCCAGGCATTACTACTAGATGGGCCTTTGCAGTTGCCGTTATTTTACCTTGTTGATGTTATTTGTACCAAAGGTTGATGATGCACCCGTGATCCTCCTCTGATGTAAACTTGACAGTGGGCTGTCGTCAACTCCCATTTTATAGTCGTTTTGCATTATTAGAATCCTCAATGGACCTTCGTTGCCCGGGGGCTCGGCCCTGCTGTTTCCATCCATACCCGCTCATAGCTCGCCTCTTCCCTTTAGCGGGGGGAGATACCTAGATTAGAGACGTTGTTCTCTCTTTTTCTGTTTTCCTGCTTCCTTACTCCTCTGTCTGTGACTTATCTTGCATCCCCTCATCTGAGTTCTTCTCACTAGTGTCTCTTCTCTGTTAGCCTCTCTCTCTTTCT